ATAAATCGAATTTTCAGAAAAATTTTTGATTTTGAAAAAAAGAATGAGCATTTTCATGAATTTTCAGCCGAAAAATAAAAAACTTCAAAATTTTTTGAAATGAAGTTTTTTATTTATGTACTTTTAGGTAATCGACCACGCTGATCATCATCTGCTACTCAGTTTTTCATAAAATTGATCTAGAATTGAGTTATGACGTGTTTTATGAGCCAATTTTGGCAATTTTTGAACTTTTGAGAGCCCAGAACTTGGCTCAGAGGTCCATTGGGAGACTAAAATTTTTAGGGTGTTCTTATGGTCCCAAAAGCTGTCTCTGGACAAAATTTCATCAAGATTTGAAGTGTTGAGTAAAAAAGGTTCCCTTGTGAGTGAAAAATTCAGCTTCTATTTTTGATGTTCGTGTTCGGATAATCCTAGAATTTTTGCCTCACTTCAGAAGATGAAATATCGAAAATCCCTTATTATCACAATCAGAACAGTCTAGCTTTTCCCAGACATTTTCCCATCCCCCAAAACCTTTTTTCATAAAACGCATGACAAAATTGAACATGCGAAGCCGAAAAAAAAACAGTTATATGTACAACAAAAATCCAGTCGTCATTCACTCATTCTTCACTCAAATAACAGCCGTTGTCAATCATCATCGATCATTTTTTTCTGTTCGTTGTTTCCCCTTACATACATTCATCCATACAATAACCCCCCATCTGATTTTTCAGGCTCTCAAAAAATAGAGAAAAAAAAATATTTGTGACAGTGTCTATGTGAACTCATTTATCTTATGTCAGTTCTTCTTTTTGGCCCCCGCCAGATATATGTATATATTTAAAGGAGAGACATCAATAATTGATGTGGGAAATGAAATGCAAAGACTATTTATCACAAGTTGCTAGTCCAGCCAAACACATGGCCCAAATTGAACTTTTTTTGTGAACAACAAAGAAAGACTTGCGAAATATTGGGTAGTTAGGTTAGAAATCGGGTTCGAGAGGTCAGATAAGAGGATTTTTTCGAAAAACTGATTTTTTGAAGCTTTTGAAAATTCTAAAAATGCCCCAGAATAGACTGGAACTTTCATAAATCTGAAGAAACTACGAACTTTATATCCAATTGAGTTTCAGAATCTTTCAGAAATGTATTTTTGAAAAAAAAATGGAAAATGTGCTAATGCTGCAATTTTCATCCAGATTTTTACTGAAAACTCCTGCTTCTTGGATTTTCGAGAGTTTCAAAAATTCTTCATAAAACCAGTGCGTCAGATTGTTTCCGATTCAGAATACCAGAAAAAAATCGGAAGATTTCTAATTTTCTGAATACAATTCTGAACCGTAGAATTCTGAAGTCTCCGAATCGGACTTTCTCACGTGGTCCAACTCCTATTCAATCAGACAATCTCAACATCCGGAAACCACAGACTTTTCTGAAAATCGATCTTGAAAACTCTGATCTTTCCTAGTGTGTGATTTGAGGCTTTTCAGAAGCTCTGTTCAAGTTATTCCAGAAAGTATCACTTGCTCAAAATCTGAGCCTTCCCAAAAACCGTGTGTTCCCATAACACCCAAAAATCCCTTTCCGACGTGTTATTTTCTTGTTTCCCTCTTCCAATTTCCTGCTCTTCCCAAAAAAAAAGTTTGATAAAGAAAAGCTGACAATCAATTTCGAAAATACCTCCATCAATCTATCAGAAAACACAGTGTGTTTGTGTCGTCTCACAATTTGATTGATTTGCTCAAAACTCCATCGACTCTCTCGATCATCATCATTTTCAATCTAATCAATCACCAGCCCCAAAAAATATATTCCCCCTGTCATTTTTCTGAGCAACAGACAAAATAACGGTTCCCTTCACAAAAATCGCAGAAAAATGTCAAATTGGTCCCAAATGAACAATGTTTTTTGAGTGGTTTGTATGGGATGGATATGTGTCAAACCATGTTCAATGTGATTTGTCAAAAATGTCTGTTTTCATCACTTTTCGCTTGAAGCAGCAAACTCCCCCGCCACCAATTTATCATCTCTTGTTTTGCCAATTCTTGATTTCCTTTTTTTCGTGTTGCTCAAGTTTGATCGCATTCAAAAATGTTTTACACACACAGTTGTTGGCACATTATTTATTAGCGTTTGGGTCAGTCAGTCAGTTTGAGTTGATTTATTTATGACTTCATTAGTCAAGTGTAATATTTAAGTGGCGTTTTTGGGGGGATGAATTGATTTCAACAGACATCGAGATGCGGAATATGATTTATGATGCGCTTTGAATAGACAAAAGAAATGCTCATTAGTGAAGCTAAGAATTTATAGAGTTCGAAAACTTTTAATTGTAATTGTGCATCAAAAATTGCGAACCTTCTCTGATTTTTCAATTTAGAATTGAATAAAATCTGTTTGAGAATCTGAAGTTCCAAACTTTCACATCACAGCAACTTTTCAACCTAGTTCCAAGTTCGAAATTTTGAAATTTCAGAATTTCAATGTCTTGATTTTCCAGGTTTATAAGAATTCAAAAAACAACATTAGCAAAGGCTGAAGCTCAAAATTTTTCACCAAAACCTCTCGTCCCCCTAATCTCCTAGAAAATCCCAAATTTTCGAGCTAACAAAAGCCTATAATTATTCGGAAAGCCATAATTAATCTCTTCAGCTAACAATTTTCACGGAACCCCATTCAAAATCATAAGAAGCCGAAGCCGATTTCCTGACCACTCATCAAATTCGGGCTTCTTCTCTATTTATATTTGAAAATAATCCGCGCAGGTGGAGTGCTAATTAGAAGAAGTAGAAGTAGATACACTTTAATCAGTGCCACCTGCTCATAGGCTCAAAACAAAAGGCTCTAATTAGTTTTTGCGGGTTTCTTCTTTTTATAATAATAATTATGGTGTTATTATTATATCAACAAATAAGCACTTATGTTCACCCTATTTCAAGTGTTTGTCAATTGACCCAAAAGTGGATGGGGTTTGTCTAGAGATACTTGTAAAAATATAAATGTGTGTAGCAGAAAATTATGATTTTTTTTCTTGCGAAAAAAAAAGATTGATTGCTCATGTTATCAATCAATCAGTAACTCTTCTATCTATTTGATTTTATTTTTTTTGCGAAATCGAGAGTTGTTTTGTTGAGATAGCGAAGAAGAAGAAGAAGAGAATGGAGATGATTTATTGTATGTAGTACATTTCAAGTAAAAATGATGGATGCGTTTCTTCAAAACACAACTAACTTTTCTCTCTTTATGTGTATGCCGACCCGGGCATTTTTGCCGCAGTTTCGACACATTTTTGATTGATTGACGAGGGTGGCTTTTTTTGGGAGAGGAAGAAGAGGGATGTCCTTCGGGTGAGATGCAAAATGATTGGTGTTTATTTTTCAAAGATTTTTGATGTTTTTTCGGCAAGTCAGCTGGTTTTGGGTGGTTCCGGACGGAAAAATTAGCGGAAAAATCTAGAATTTCAGAAAAAAAACGTAACCGGAGCCTTCAAGAATAGCAACGGAACTCAACAGATTTGCCACGTCATAACTAACTTACAATCTAAAAAAATTTGGCAAAAAAGAGAAGCCAGAAATTCAAATCCCAATTTCCCCAAGTACGGTATTCCTCTGCGTCACTAACACCGTTTCGAGACCACACCATTGGGCAGAGAAACAAAGTCAAAGACGCACATATGGGTCTCGCAGCGACTGAAAGAAACACCGTACTTGGGAAGAAATTTTTTTTATTTTGATAATATCTTCAAGAAATTTAGGTTAAGTTCAAGATTTTTAACCTCACAGAAGAATCAGAAAAATAAAATCAGGCTACTTTTTCAATCAGAAGTTCTATAAAATCAGAACTTTTCAAATATTTCATAACAATTTTTGAATATTTCCCACTTTTCAGACCTCAAACCCCATTCCCAAAACTAAACTCACATTTGAGGTCAGATAAAATCAGTGTCGATCCATCTCCTCCACATTCATTCATTCATCCATCGCACTCATTCATCTACACATATTTATTCTGTCATCCTTCGTTTCTCCCATTTCTTTTTTTTTCATATCGTTGTGTCCATCATTCACCCATTAATCTTATCCAATTAAACACCCCATCATCACCTTTGTCGATTTCGCCGCTTTGCTTTCTTCCATCAAACAAACAAACACAGACACAGACAGAAACATCGGATCATTAATCTAGAGCTCTCTCTGTTTACAACATGACTGGCCCGCGCGCGCGTCACCTTTTTGGCGCAACTGATTAATCGTTTTCTGTCTTGTTATATGAGTTCGGGTGGTCGTGAAATATTGTTTCTTTATGTGTGGAGACACATAGTGAAAAATGCGAGGTCCTGGAAAAAAAAAAGAAAAAATGTGAAATTTTTTTGAAGAAAGCTAAACTTACCAATCGAAAAATCATTTTGAGAGCATTGGGAAATCGAAAATAAACATTTCGAAATTAGTAAATAGTGATTTGCTAGAAGTTCACGCGAAAATTACACGTTTTTCCAGAAAAAAGAAAAAATTGTTTGCAATTTGCAAAAAAAATAAAGCGAAAACAACGAGACTCCGCTTACAGGCCGCCCTATGCTCGCGGCTGTTTGAATTTATTATTTTTTCAAAAAAAAAAAAACAATTTTTTTTCTCTCTCCCATTACATTTCAAAAATGCCCAATTTGATATGCGTTACATGACTAATACAACTAGTCGTAATAGGTCTTCTTCAGTAATTTATTGCCGATCATAAAAACGCCGAGAAGAAAGGAATGGTTGCCCATCTGCTGTGAGAATAACAGAAATCAATCTAAAATTTCCTTGATGGCAAATAAAAAAAATTCAAATCGTATGTATGTATTAAATTAATTTTTTTATTATTAATTACACATTTTTGAGAAAAAAACACGTATCACAAACAAAATATACAAAAAAATTTCAGAGAAAAATTTGCAACCAGATTCAATTAACCCGTTAAACATAACCATAAAAATGAAAAAAACTAACAAAAAAAGGAAAGTATAAAACAAATGCTTACTGTGGCATAGAAGACATAAGTCTTTGGGTATACATAGCTTGAAGTGGGAATGGAAGCATTAATGGGTTGAGTTGCGGTGGCATCGCCATCATTGGAGTTGTAACTGGTTTTGCATATGGATTAAATCTGGCTGAAGTAGAAGCGGATGAAGCTGGCCGAGATGTTGGTGTCTTCATCGGACCACCTGGACTTGCTGGTTTATTTTCAGTTGAAGCCGGTGGCGATGGCGTGTGAATCGATTTCACATGATTCGCAAGCTCTTCCTCGTCAGCAAATTTTTTTCCGCAAACTCCGCTGCTCTCCATCCAATTACACTTATGTGTTTTTGCGGTAGATGTTGAAGCTTTTGGTGTAGATTGTTGTTGCTGATGTTGTGAAGCGGCGGCAGCTGAGGCTAACAAGGATTGATAAGAATACGCGTTGAAAAGTGGATGCATCATATCAGCGGCGGCTGCAGCTGCAGCAGCTCCAGATGCTGAAGATGTTGGTGTGCACTGGATGCACCCTGGAGTCAGACAGGGTTGACGCATCATAGCAAAAGGACACGGCATTCGAGCCATTGGAAAAGCTGGGAATGGCATTGGATAAGGCATCATTGGATTGAAAAATGGGAATGGCATTGGTGGCATTTGAGGAAAAGCTCCAGGTTTTGGAAGCCCTGGGAATGTCATACTTGGTGCTTCTTTTGATGCTGGTGTAGATCTTGGTGAAGTTTTCTTCGAGACATTACTATCCTTCTTTTCAGTTGAGGAAGTTTTCTTCGATGGGGTTTCAGGAAGCCCAATTGTTTCACATGTTTTGGCCAAAAGAGCAAGTGGTGATTTACCAGGCTCCATCTAAAAAATTATAACAATGAAGATCAAATGAGCCCAAAAAATAATAAACTTACAGCTTTTGGTGTGAAATCAGTGATATATTGCGATTGTGAATGTGTAGATACCATTTTGCAAAAGAATTAACTAGTGTGGTAAGAGAAGAGACAACAAAAAATGAAAGGGAAGAAGGTGTGAGGAGGCGGGACGGGAGTTGGGGGCGGAGTCGGCGAATTGAGAGATGTGAAGTGGGCGGAGTCAAGGCGGACATTTATCAGACAATTTATGATGTGTCAATTGACAGGGGGGAGAAGAAGACTAAATGGTGTTGCAAAATTGATGAGGGCTTCTTCTATCTGTGTGTTTGGGGCCAAGGAGAACTTAGATTGATTATGGGAAGAAATGGGAAAAATGTTGGAAAACATTTTGAAATTGGTTTTTATTTAGGGTTGGATAGAAAACGGATCTGAAAAGTCTCAGATCAGGCGCTGAAAGAGCCGGAAGAATCTGTAGGATCTCAGGTTCAAGATTCCGAAACTGGATTTCTTGGTGAAACCTAACTTGGAGTCTCTCAAATTTTCAGGAGCTGGCCTTTTCATGAGTTCCTGGATATAAAACCTCTAAAACTTAAGAAGACTAAAGTTGAATTTCAAAATTGAGTCTTTAACCTGAGTTAGTTCAACTCAAGCTAAATCCCTGAACTTGATGATTATAAACTAGAACTTGAGCCACGATAAGAGAGTCTGAATTCCGATCTGAAATTTTGAAACTTCTGAATTCTGCTGAGGTCTTGAACTTTGTACATCTGAACCCAAATCAAAAAAATAAACTTCAGGTTCCACCAAAGTTACAGTAATTCCGAATTCCCTTGAATTTTTCAAAACCTTCCAGAACATTTTCAAAACTCTTCCACAGTAGCCCTTTCCTTTCTATCACATGTTTTTCTATTATTTTTCCACTTATCAATAAACACACATAAAAACCCCACATAATTGCCCGGAATCAAATTATTCCCGAGAATTTTATTAATTGTAATAAAATGTAAATAATTCCTAATCTTCGCCAGAAAATTTCGAATTTTACGAGTTTTTTATTCGTTTCAATTATTATTTTATCGTCGTGTCGCTTTGTAGGAAAACTGTTCCATGAAAATAGAAGAGCAATGATTTCAAAAATACAAAAATAATAAACTCAAATGTTATCTTATCAAAGGTTACGATCAAAAAGAAGTGCCGCTAGTAAAATATTAATTATATATTTGTGTGTATTTTAGGAGGGGGCACCCATTAATTACCTATTTTGACAAGGTTGTCAATCAATCATGGCTGGGAAGTTTTCAATTTTTGACACCATATTAAATGAGCCTTGCTCTAGCCGGATGGTGCATTTTGGGAAGTTTGACCTCTGCTATGTATAAAAAAGTTCAAAAAAGTTTAATTATGCATGGAGCCCTTAATTGTTTACATTTGCACTTTGAGCAAAGGCCTATAAGAAATGTATTGGATTACTGTAAGTAGATCAAATTGCATCAGATACTTAAACAGACACATGTTTTCTATGTTTGCCAGATGTGTCGAAAAGGTATCGTATTATTATTATTATTTTTTTTTGGTTGTTAGTTCAATAGTAGCCGCGCAGGTAGAAAAGATCTCAAAAATCAACATATCCGGCTTGAGATGAACAAAAAGAAAAGTGCCGACGATTTAATGAGAAAGTTGTTTGGGATTATGAGTTACAACAGGTACTTGAAGCAAAAAACACAAATACATAAAACGAGTAAAAGGTCGTAACTTTGGGAGATGCCGTGTAGATCTTGAGAGGTATAAACTTCGATTTTGGGAAAATTGAAACGGAGGTTCTGAAAATGAGTTCAGAAAACCTGAAATTCTAGAAAAACCGTAGCTCTTCTAATTCTAGACAAATTTTGAGATTTGAAACGTTTCAAAAAATAAAATCCACGTGGAACAAGAAACTTTGAGAATTTTAAAAGTTGGAAACTTCTGTAGCAAGATTCTGTGAATTTATTTTTTCCAAATTCTCTCTAGATTTTGTAAAAAGTTTCCCGAACTTCCCATACTTGAAAAGATTCCCTTTTCATTTTCCAAGCTTCCGATCCAATCTCGAATCCTCCCACCATTCATTCTATAATAAATTTCAACATTTCTCTCCTAACCCCAACAAACAAAACTTTTTTCCAGCTCATCAAGCATTGCGCATTAAAAGTGTTGCCCAATAAAACACACACAAAAAACACGTTAAAATGTTTGTCACATTCAGATAGATGAAGGGAGAAAAAACAGGCGAATCGGCTTTAATGACCATGTTATATGTGTATGTCATAAAATGTGTGTTCAAATAGGTTGAAAACCCATAAAAATTCATTTTATTCTCGCTGTGTTTTTTATGATTTCATTTCATTTCATTTCATTCATTAAACAATCTCTTTTTCTTTTCTTCTCAATTCTCATTCAATTTTTAGTGGTGGGGGCAAAATACTGTGTTTAGATTTTGTTGACAAGTCGGCACGTTTGATGTTGATTAATTCGAATTGACTTATTTTATTTTATTTATCCAAACGCAAATGCAGAGAAAAAATGATTATCGAACATTTGATTTATTTGAAAAGGCGGCGGAAATGGTCATTTTGAATGGGGAAAAAAAGAACAATGGAACTGAAATGACCAACTGAAATAGACAATGTCATACAAATCATCTGGAAAAAAAGAGAGGGAATTGGGCTGGAAGAGGAACATTTTGTAGGGAAAAAACTGAATTCTGAACTATCAAAAACAGTTCGAAACTTTTTTGAACTTCAGAAAAAACTTTTGGATTAAAAAAAATACTTCCGAATCTTCGCTTCAAGAACTCTTTTGTTCACGAATTTATTTTCAAACTTCAGAAATTGTTTAGTAACTTTCAAGATTCTGAATATTCCTGATTTTTTTCCTGAGAACTTCAGATTTGAATTCAGAAGTCTGGAATTACATCCCACAATTTGAAACTTGAAAAAACAATCTGAACTTTGAAATTTTCAAAACCTCTGGGGGCCTTTCTTCAGACATTTCAGAAAAGTTCACTGAAGCTCAGATATATCGACTGAAACCTCGACCAAATTTCAAAAAATCCAATTTTTATTTTCAAAAAAGCAGCAGCTGCCAGCTACCCACCAATTTTTCAAAAATTAATCAAAAACATGGGCGCGCGAATTCTTCACCCAACAAAAACCGTTTGTTGTTGTCAAAGCGAATCAGTGTCATCGCAGGCCCGCACATCATGTCAAAACATCAAAAGAACGCCGACATGTCAATCAGTCAGGTCTTCTTCTCTTTCTTCTTTCGTTCCAAATCAAATCCGATTTGCTTGCCATAAGCAGCAGACAGGCAGATTTATCTATCTAACAAATAGTTTTGGACACTGTTGACATATGTTCTACTTGACTGACACATTCACTCATCCGAGCGCAAATAAATCGTATATTCTATGTATTTCCTGTACCAAGACCGCGCACCGTAATTTAATATTATTATTTATATTAAAGGGTACTCCAGGGGACCATATTGCGCAACAACAAAAGTGCCTACCTACCTTTGTCAATCTAAATGGGCCCATTAAATTTTTCCGGGGCAATTCGAAACATTTTATGACGGCTATCGCGCACTTTTATCTTCTTCTATAAAATAAACTACCGTATTCTTTGCGCAGGGAAAAAACCACGGTAATAAAACAGATTGTTGACAGGTGTGAAGTTTTTGCCGCCGCCGCTTTTCTTCTGGTGATAAAATTGGTTTGTGTTATGACAGGTGCAACATGTGTGTTTTTTTCTACATCAACGAGTTTTTTTGATGTGCTCATTGGGAGGGGAAGAAGAAGGTGTTAGAAAATAATGTGTGAACAAGCGATGTTGTAGGAAAAATAGGTGTTAATTAGACAAAAACATTAGGGGTTCCCGCTTTGATGAGAAAATATGCGAAGGAAAACGGGAAGGTTCTAGATTTTCTACAAAAGGATTTATGGGAGATGACTTGACAAAACTGAACTGCAAGACAGAAAATGTTTTCAGATTTTTCTGTTCCAAAATTATGACGTGGCCAAATCAAAAATTTTCACTAATTTATTTCATGGCAAGAGAAATACGATGCTGAATTTTTCAAATTTCGAATAATAGTGTAGCGCGGGACAAATACTTCAGCCAACATTTGGAATTTTTAGAAAAGTTATCCGAACTCTCTTTGAAGCCCGAAAAGCGTTTTGCAAAATGAACATCTTTTAAAATTTCTAGCTCATAGCTCTATTCTGATTTTTTCAATTGGTCAAAAGTTCTCCCGAATTTTTCAGCCAAAATTTCGAATTTTCAGAAGCAAAACTTTTTTTTGAAGGTCGAAATTTCTTTTTAAAAATTAGCAAAAATTCGAATTTCATCTCTAGATTTGGACTAAAAAACCTCAACTCTTCAGAAGCCTCTTCAAATTTTTTCCACGTCATAGAAATTTCTAAGAAGCCTGCGCCTAATCAATTCCCCAAAACTTCCAAACATCAAATTCCAACCATCTCTCCAAAAAGTCATAAAACAACAAAACAAAACAAAAAACGCATAAAAACCTCATTTCACATAAAAACCAGCGAAGCGAAGTCGAGTTGTTATTGTTGTCATAAACCCATCGCATTCCTCGTCCGTATCAGTTGCAATTTTATCTATCACGTCTCAGCCAGCCAACACTAAATTTTACGATTTCTCATTTCAAAGAGCTCCCGACACATTGTCATAAATCGTTTTATCTTTATGACTACCCAATATTTTTATGACACAACACGAGGGATTATTTATCAAACTTTTTTTTTCGGTGGGGAAAATGTTGCCAAAAAATAAGGAGGGGACAAAAAATAATTCTGATGATGATGAATAACGGGTTTTTGAAAGATGTCTGTTCCGATTGATTTATAGCTCTCCTTTTGTGTGTATTATTGAGAAAAGAAAAGAAATAAAATAAAAAAGAAGAAACGACGGTAATTTATTATTTCTTGTAGATTTTTTATGATCTCTATTTTTTTTTCAAACACAGATTATCGGGACCAACACAACACATCTGCTGGTTTCGAACAATTCAAGTGTATATTCATCTCTCGTTAATCA